ATTGCTTTTTTTTTTTTTTTTTTTTTATGTTTGGACCAAAATTAATACATTTTAGTTATATTATGACTATTATTAATTTTTTCTTTTTTCATAAAACATACACATCATTAAGTATCGGTATTACATTAAATTTCAAACATTATGAGCCTAGGTGAGTATAAATTCTACATTTTCAATAAAAGTTACTTTTTTTAGGACATATAATTAAACTTTGAGATAAAGTAATTCTATCAACATTTAAAAATAAAGTGTTTGTTTGATTTTTTATTTGAAATTAATTTTTTTATTTAAATTTTAATTTAAATACTATTATTTGGACGTGACATTTTATAAAATAAAATAATGTATATTTAAAATACAAACAAATAAGTTGAAAGTATATTGTTACGCACAAAAATAATAATAATAATAAATAATGGCAGTGGGATTCTGGACGGGTCTGGATATAAGTTAAATGACCCAGAAGTCGGGTGCAATCGGACAGATGCAAGGATCAGGAAGGAAGAAAGGTCGGGCGGAGTCTGAAAAAAGGTGTACCCAAGTCGGGTAAACCGTAGATCGGGTGAAAGACGAAGTCGGGCAGACGCGAAGGTTGGTCAAGAGAAAGGTCGGGCAAGGAAGAGGTACGGACAGATGCGGAGGTCTGTCCAGAGGACAGTCTGTCCTTCTAAAGAGATAAGGCAAATAGAGCCGGTCGGTTGGTCCGTGGTCGGGACCACATTTGGTTGGTCCATGGTCGGACCAATTAAAGTCGGTCAAAGACGGAGGGCGGCTGATGCGGAGGTCGGCCCAAATGATGTCGGGCGAAGAAGCAGGTCGGGCATTGAGGTCAGGACGTGATACGAAGTTCGGACCAAGTGAAGTCGGGCGAAGAAGAATGAGACGGACGATACGTGGTCGGGCAAGAGACCCGATGGCGGTCGCCTGGTTGGGGCGACCATTGAATCGTATGGGGAAATCAGATGTTGGTCGCTTGATGGGGCGACCAATAAATCGTTCGGTCCGGCGACCAGTTAGTCTCTGGATTGGTCGGGTAGCACTTAGGTCGGGCGAATGGCATTTCTGGGACGGTTTAAGGTGTGAGAGGTTTGGGGAGGTTGAAGGAAGTTGTAACACGTGTCAATTGAGGAGAATTTGATGGTCGGTTGACAGCGGTTGCTGTAACCGACCAGACGGCGGTTCAAACCGTTTTCTTCAAAGGTTATTTAAGGATTCAGATTTATTCTGAAAAGGCATCTTCAATCAACTTCAACAAAGCAAAGTCAGATTTGGGGATCACCACTTTAAATTTCAGTCTTTTATTTTCCAGTTTATTTTCTGTACCATACCGTGTTTAGAGATTCCTAATCTCAGGCACTAATTAATCAAGTTTAAGGATATTTTCTATATCTTTGAATTTTACTTTATTTTTGTTGAAAAATTACATCAACATATATAAAATTTGTTTACCCACTATTTTTTTTGACACGATTTATAATATATATAGTATTCTCTTTCAAAAGTTAACATTCAACATAATATATTATTTTTTATATTGTCGATACGATTCCCTATATTTTAAATAAAAAATAAAATCAAAATAATAAACCCATAGCTAACTTGTCCAAACTGTTTAAACTGCTGATTACGATTTGTCAAAATATAAACCGAAACCAACGTTCTCAATGACGATTTCGATTACGGGATTTCAATTACTATTTATAAACCGTCGATCGGTTATGGTTTGAAACGTCGGTTTATATATATTCATTTTTAGTATTTTTTCTTTTTTATTTTCTATTTTTTAAATTTGAATTTTATTTAATAATAATTAAATTCGATTTTAATTTTATTTAGATATATTTATTTTTTATTTATTATATAAAAATCATATATATAAATAATTAATTAGATTGTTACAATTAAAAATAATTAAATAATAAATTCAGTAAATAATTAAATTAAAAAATAAATAAAAATAATAATTTTAATTATTGGTGTAATAGATAATAAAATAATTTAAATTAAACATAAGCATATAACAAAAAAAAATTACAAAATTTAAAATATAAAATAAAAATTAATACTACTATTATAGAATATTTTAGGTGTTTACCCTACTACACCCACACAGCCGCGCGCCGCACCCTGTCTTCTTCTTCTACCTTCCCCGCCACCGCCACCGCGCCACCCTGTCTTCTTCTTCTACCTTCCCCGCCACCGCCACCGCGCCACCGCACCCTCCCTGCCCGCCGGAGTTTAAAGAAAAAGAAAAAAAAAGGCACCAGGTTGGTTCGCAGCCACATTCTAGCAGCCGAAATTCTTCCCCCATCTACTTCTTCTTCAACCCAATCCTTCGGCCAGTGGTAGTTGTTTTTATTTTTGAAAGGTAAGTTCAATAATAATATATATATATATTTCTTTGGCAGCTCCATTATATTATTTTTATGATTTTTTTAATTTTATTTGTATCTTTTCTACACAGGCGGCAATATGAATATGAATGAGAATCAAAACCAAGACGATAGACTTTCTTGTCCGCCAAAGCCCCGCGAGGTGGCTGCGGTGTTTGTTAGATATAACGTTGGGCAATCAACGTTCAATTCTTCCATTTCTTTTAGTCTAGCTATATTTTCATATTTATTGGCTCAACCGACGAATTTAGATTGGATAGAGGACGTTGTGTTGATTAGTTTGTTTCTAGGTAATACTTTGTTATTTATTACTTTTTGTCTTAGAGAAATACTAAGACAAGAAATAGAAATATTAAACAGTTTGGCGGATACGATAGAATTTTTAGGTGTAAGTACTATTTGGAGCAGTTATATTTGCTTGTTTAGTTTAACTATATTAAGATCCACTTGGTATCAGATTTTGCTATATGTTATTGCAGGATGTATATGGCTTTTGCCAATATACATTCTTTTTTATTGGGCTGTCCTGGGAATTCTCTGGACCTACAGCAAGTGTCATGCGCTGCCGCCGCCGCCACCGCCACGCAATGATCTGCAGCCGCTCGGTGATCCACAGCTGGGCAATGCTCCGCCGCCGCCCGGTGATCCGCAGCTGGGCAATGCTCCGCCGCCGCCCGGTGATCCGCAGCTGGGCAATGCTCCGCCGCCGCCCGCTGATCCGCTGTCGGGCAACAACAATGCGCTGAGTCTGGAGCTGGTGATGGAGAGGGGGTTGGAGAGTATGGAGCTGGTGATGGAGAGGGGGTTGGAGAGTATGAGGCAGACGATGGAGAGGGGGTTGGAGAGTATGAGGCAGACGATGGAGAGTATGAGGCAGACGGTGGAGAGGCTGGTGCAGCATCTGCTGCCTTCTTCCGGCCCCTCCCTGCCTACTGTCACTCCTCCCGCCAGCAACAACGACTAGCTTCTCTTTCGGTGTCAAAGAATTGTAAATAAACGTAGATTTTTGTTTTAAAAACTTTTTAGACTTGTTTAAAGACTAATGTCTTTTGAACTACTTTCAATTTATGTTTTTTACTCGAACTTTACTTATTTAATTGATAAACTGGTGCGCTTTAATTTTAAATTCCTATTTAGTTGTTTGTATTAATTGATTTTAGCCTTAGCGCCACAACGTAAGACTCATTGATTGATGAACGAGCCTTCCGGTGTGCCGTGACAGTGACACTCCGGGGTGTTACACATTGGGGTTGTTAGGCTGAAATGCTGAACTGATTAGTAAAGTGAGTCGTTCCAGTTACTTGTGTTTGTTATTCGAAGTTTTGCCATAGTCACTCACATCTACTTGTATGTCTCTGTTGAAAACACAACCAAGACAAAACATTCCAACCTTAGATAGATTAAGTGATTGATGTTATACAGTGCTGTTACATGGCTAATAAATTTGGTTAGTTTATGCGGTGCTTGCATGTTATGTTATTGATTTGCATTGGCTGAATAGATCCTGAAGGAAAATATGAGGAGTGACTTAACTGAACTTGCCAGACGTGGAAAATTGGACCCTGTTATAGGACGTGATGTTGAAATAAGGCGATGCATTCAAATTTTATCCCGTAGGACAAAGAACAACCCTGTTATAATTGGGAAGGAAAACTGCTATTGTTTTCCAGCCTCTGGACTCCAAACAAATCAAGAAAATTGTTGAAATTCAGGTAAGAAAAATAAAACTTCATTTAATCTTAATTCCTACTATTCAATTACTTTTTTGATAAGTTGCATATCATTCTTGTCAAGGACAGAAGGAGAGGTATTCACAAACTTCCTAGGAAAAGCTAATTCAATAGTATAATTGGGGTGGGTGGTTTTTGGATGACTATTTTACGTGTATGTTTTTCAGTTTTACAGAAGATGTGAATTTTTTGGACTAGGATATGCCATGGTTAATTAAAACTCATTTGATCGTTACTTAGTTAGTCGTTTAATGTAATTAATCAAGGTGACGACTAGCTACTTGAACGTCGTTATGTGTATGAGTTTTGGCATTATATGTGGGGAACCAGAGCTGTCACACTCTGATGCTCCTTTGTTTTTCTTTATTGTTTGTTTGTGATTTGGTTAATATGCTTTTACACTGATATTTTTTTTCCATCATTTTATTATATATACAGCTACATTGAGTAAAAGACAGACTGAAACAGAAGAACATAAACTTTCACTACACGGAGGAATCCATTGAACTGCTGGCCACATTGGGCTTCGACCCTAACTTTGGAGCCAGACCCGTAAAGCGGGTGATACAACAGATGGTGGAGGAGAATGAGGTTGCAATGGGAATCTTAAAAGGTGAAATTTCTGAAGAAGAAGATTTAGTTGTCCAAAGATGCACCATAACAAAACCAATTGTGCATCAAAAAGTTGGAAAATTCAGCTAGTACTTTTGGAAGAGCCTTGAATACATAAAACACAGGAAATCACCAAAGCATACTTTTGGAAGTTTTAATAAGAAATATCAAATCTATAGATAAGGCAAGGCATTCATCCCAATATAAAAGATGGAATTCTTAAGGAAAGGATATCTAGACATCTAGTTTAAAAAATAGGGTTAGTTAAATGAACCACTGTACATATATATATATATATATATAACAGATGTAATAGATGAACAATACATAAAAGATGAAATGGCTTATAAGAATATGCAACTTCCAACCATCAAATTAGTATATAACTTATGAACCATTAAAACAATAAGAGATGGCAACCTAATTTACCTAATTAGCTAAAAAGAGGGCACAATGAAGATGACTAGGAGTTTATAGATGGGAATGCAGGACAACAAGCAATGGAAAACCTTTGAAAACCACATGATGTTGTTTATTATGCTTGGTTTTTAAATATATGGTTCTGCAACTTATGATTTTGTTCTCTAATGGTATGTTTTGTTACGTTTGGGTGAACAAAAATATAAGATCTAGCGTCTTCTATAATTGTCTGCCAGTGCCACATAGAAATAGATACTCTAGCTAATCACATCATTAAGACTAGAAGATTGCATAAGGTTACCAGATCAGGGTCTGGACAGAGGACTCTTGTCTAAGTAACTCGTATTTGGTGTTGCCAGACAGTTTGGTAACATAGGACAAAGTGTTTGAGTTTCTGCCACTCCTAACTAACTCAAGAGTCTATCTGCTGCTACCAAATAAACAAACAGTCTTTATTTATTTACCATTTTTGGAAAGGAAGCAAGCAAGGAAGGAAGGAACCCCATTTGGTTTGGAGGAGAGACAATTTGTTTCCATGATGTACCAATGTTGACATTAAGAAAATAATAATAATAATAATAATAATAATAATAATAATAATAATAATAATAATAAAATAAAATAAAATAAAATCAATTGCAAATCTAATCAATAAATAGTTAAGAGGTAGTTGGGAGCACACTTACAATAGGAGGCATCAGAGGCTGAATACCCACGTGGACTAACCAGCAGGGCAACACCTGAAACATCAGAAGTGTCACCAAGGAAAATAGCAAATTCCACCGATGAGGCAGTGGAGGGAACTCTCCAAAATGATTTTTTTTCCCCAGAAAATTTAGGGGAGATGCCACTAGTAGGGTGCAGAACCTGCTGCAGTCTCAACCTACATAAAAGAAGGTAAAGCTAATATTCACACAAAAAAGCATTCCAATACAACATCAATAATTTTAAAGTAAAATATGAGTAATCTTCATTGGTTGCTGTAATAGATAAGCAATACATTAAAGATGAAATGGCTCATAAGAATATGCAATAAATATAAATAAGACAAAGAAACAATTCAGATCCTCCATAGAATACCCAAAACTTAGATTGCCTTGTAAATCATGTAAAAGTGAACTATGTCATGATTAATCCACAAACATACTAGTAGACTTTCACATTAAATTTGAGGGTAAGTCAATGACATAGTCCTTTGGCTCACAAACTCATCTTTCATAAGATTATCGCAAGGAATTACATACATTTCTCAGTCAACATGATGGTGGCACTTGAATGGCAGGGATCGACCCAACATACTTATTTCATAAAAACATAAGCAAGCAGATGGAGTACATTTCATATAGGTGTAAACTGATTCAAGAAATGCATTATGTAGTATCAAGGTTTAAATGCTTCTACAATATTCACTGGTAAAATATGTTGTCATTCTTCCTTAATATAAAAAATTTCAAATTAGTTTCCATTTTGTTTTTCCTCACAGTTTATCAATCATATATATGCTAACAGAATACTAAAGTTAATTTTTAAACTATTCTTTATCAAGCACAATCATGAATCCATAGTTTTCTTCAATACAATGTATCTTCCACGTGACTAAAAACTACAAATAGAATGTATCATTCTTTTATAGGAAAGTAGATCTGCATGGCATTACATAGGTATTTGCATATGAAATCATTCAGCACGCACCCCACAGTCGTTATTTTCATAACTGATGAAATACTTATGTTTATACATGCAATGATGGAACTTGAGCATTAGGTCTACTGCTCTGATTTCATGTTCAAACATAGATCCCACCTAAACAGTTAAATTAATATACATATATATATATATGGGTGTGTATGTAGATTATGAATGAAAGTTATTTATGAGCTAACATATATACTTGTATAATATTCCAATGCAGCCATTATGAGCAAACAAAGTTATTTATGCTTTTTCTATAGATGGCCGATGCCAATGATGGTGAGGATTTGAACTTGAAACATGCTCTATTGAACTATCATTTTAGCTAAAAAATTTAAAATAATAGTAAAGTGCAATGCTTCACAGACACGCGCACACACAAACATCCACGTGATTCCTACAACATTTCTCAAATAGAAGCACATACAAATGAATCATCATTATCTTTTCTATTCAACTCAATTGTCTTCTCTCTTTTGCTTATGTAATAAAATTTCAAGAAACTCAACCAAGCTATGTTATTATCTCTTTTATAAGAGTGATATTAAAGCAAATGACAACCTACTCTACCTTATAAGTTAAAAAGAGGGCTCAATGAAGATGACTCAGTTTATAGATGGGAATGCTGGACAACAAGCAATGTAAAACCTTTGAAAATTTATTATGCTCTGTTTTTAAATATTTGGTTATGCAACTTATGATATTTCATTGAAAGATCAAGAGGCTACAAACCTGACATTTTGAAGCTTACACACAACTTTATTGCCAAATATAAGAAAGCAGTTCGAACAAAAGCTTCACAAGTTGAGCTACACGGTCAATGAACCAATGAATTAGTGTCTAAATTGGTCACAAAATTCATTGCACAGTAAAAATGAAATTAACATAACTCACATAAGTAATCAAACAATGCACACCATAGCAGTTTATTAAGCTTTCACAGTGAAGGTGAGCAAATTACTAAGAACAACTAATCTAATTCTAATTCACTACACAAAATAACCCAAATGTCCATAATTTCTTGCAAGCGTTGTAATGACTCAATAGAATCAGATTGAAGAAACATGTAAGATCTATTTGTAGTAGAAACATATTTTCATTGACAAAATGAACTCACAACAAAACATTCGAACATAAACAAAGATCAAATGCATCCTCAACAAATAAAACAGAGACAGAAACCTGCATAAATCCTAGAAACTATATCAATTAGATTGCAATAAGACAAGCATATCGCATTGCTTTCTCCCCAAAATTGAAAAATCCGAAACTGCGATGCAGAATTCTCTGGTAATCGAAATTAAACAAAAAAGTGGATGCTCACAATCACCAGGTTGAAAAAATATTATGTACATATGTTTCACTCATCAGTCACAGCTGGTGCTTCGAGACAGAATCTAGGCGCCACCGCCACCGAAGACTGCTGCCGTCGTTGTCTTCACCGTCGCTATCAAATGCCCAAAATCAAGCGCGGCAGTCTCGCGTGAGAGCGGTATAGTTCGAAGTAAGAATGAGAACGGCAGACTTGCTCTATCGGTTTCGAACCGGCGGTGGAACCAAAATTGAAACCGGTTTCTCACGGTTCGATTTCTGTTTCTCTTTCTTCCGAAGGTACCGAACCGGCGGTTTTGTATTTTCACTTTTTTTTTATTTTGAAAAAACATATGCTAACCTGAATCCTGATGGATGGAGAGTGGGAACGGCAATGGAGCAGCAGGGTGGGAAAATTGGGGAAGAAGGAAATCGAGGGGTTTTTTTAAAAAATAATCCAAATCAAACATTGTTTTAAAAATCTAGAAAAAGAGTTTTGAAAACTCCTATATTTATAAAATGTAAGAGTTTTCAACATTCTTAAATATAAAAATATAAGAGTTTTGAAAACACTTAAAATATTAAATATATGAGTTTTTAAAATATATCATATGGTAATAGAAATTTTTTTATTTAAAGTAGTTTTAAAAACACTTATATTTTTAATTATACGAGTTTTGAGAACTCCTACACTTTTAATTTCAATTTCGCCTTAGGTAAATTATATTACACTCTATTATGTTTTTAGTAAAAATGCACACTTGTATTTTATTTATTGCGTGATATCTCCTTGGATTAATTTAAAATTTGTACAAAACACCCTCCTTACCCAAAGCTGATGTTTAGTTCTAAATAAAATAAAGACCTAAATTAGTTTTATACAAATAAAATACCTAAAATATCTTAAATAAATTTTTTTGAATAAAATAAATAAATAAATAATTGATCAATTATTTATTTTTATAATCTTTTAAAGATCAGATAACAATGTCTCCAAAAAACTATAAAATGGAGGATTAATAAATTATTTATATATTTATTTTATTCAAAAAAATATTTAAGATATTTTATCGTTTTTATTTGTATAAAACTTGCATTATTGGGTTCATATTTACAATCAAATATCAATTTTGGACGAAAATGATGTTTCGTGCAAATTTTACATTAACACAAGGAAGTTTCACGCAATAAATAAAACACCTCCGGCGTGTTTTATGCATTTTAACTAAAACACAATGGGGTTTTATGTAGTATAATTTACCCTTTAAACTTTCTTAAATAATTTTGTTGTATTTCAAATATTTATACGTGGCATGTCTTTCATTTCTTAAATGGATTTTCTTTTCAAAAAATCATACATGAGGGTATTATTTTTTTGACTAAATTATTATATAATCTTTATACAATATTTTGTTTTATATTGTTAGTAAGCTATTTTTCTTATATAATGTATATTTTTTGTTTGATTACAATATTATTTTTATATGATATTTATTTTGGCGTTAGTTTTAATAAGTTAGTTGTTTAGTATTTGTACATTGTATTTTGTAATATCTTATTGTTTATTTTGGTATAATTTCTAAGTTTATATTTATTGTATTATTTAAATGTATAATGCATTTATGTGAATTTTTATAATATTAATTTTATATATTGTTTATTTTGGTATTAATTGTTTATTTTATATACAATATAAAACAAAATATTGTATAAAAATTATAAAATAATTTAGCCAAAAAAAATAATACTTGGAAATTGGATATTTGAAGAGAAAATTTGCTTTAAAAACGAATACACCATACACAAAATTTGGAATATGGTAGTTTAAAAGTTAAAACTAAAAAGTATAAAAGTTATCAAAACTTCTATAATCAAAATATATAAGGATTCTTATCAGTATTTTATATGAAAAGGTTTTTAAAACTTCTAAATTACCAATTACAGGAGTTTTGAGAAATCTTATAATTCTCCTATATTGATGACATTCAATGTGACGGTACGAGGTAGTGGGAAGAAAAAATAAAACTTTCGAAAATCTCTATATTTAGTATTTCAAGTGTTTTCAAAACTTCTATTATTTTGCATATAGTAGTTTTGAAAACTCCTATAATTTATAAATATAATAGTTTTGAAAACTCTTTTGAGGGCTAGATTTTTAAATCGTACTTTGACTTAGGCCATTTTTTTAAAAAGCTCGAAATCGAGGAAGAAGACAGTGCGGGCCGCGCCTGTGAATGTCTAATTATTAAATAATTGATTAGGCAAAAACGTTCATTGTATTAATTTTTTAGAAAATATTTTCTGTTATATAATAAATATTATATTTGGTAAGTATTATAGTATATATATAGTGTGTATTATAGATACAATATATCTTGAGGTAATGATTATATATATATATATTGGTGATAGTAGTGTGTGTGAATGACGTGTGTGTGTGTGCGAGTATATATATATGTATGTATGGATATAGATAAACTGAGAGAGAGAAAGAAGAGAAATGAGTTTGGGTGGAATAATACTTCTCTGTTTCATTCCATTGAATTGAGTATTTATGGCATAGTAATAAATGATATTTGTGGTTGATAATTTACCACAACTTATGGACGCGCATACTACGTATATAGTATATAAAGCATCCACATGATGTTTACGTCGACGTGATGTGTATAACGCTTCCCTTTGGATGCTTTTATACAAAGAATGTGCCTCGTTAAAACCTTACTATGAAAAAATCCTGTGGAAAAAAATCATAGTGAAGGAAAAAGAGTACATCATTCTTGTATTAATGCGCTCCCCCTGTTTTGGACTTTATTTGATGTCTTTCATTCGACGCATTCCAATTCCTTGCACAAGTTTGTTGAATGTTGCAGTTGGTAGCGCCTTCGTAAACAAATCTGCAAAATTTTCAGACGATCGAATTTGTTGCACATTAATTTCACCACTTTTCTGAAGATCGTGAGTGAAAAAGAATTTCGGAGATAGGTGCTTTGTCCGATCGCCTTTAATATACCCTCCCTTTAATTGAGCTATACAAGCTGCATTATCTTCAAATAATATTGTAGGAGGTAATATATTATCGGTAATCAAGCCACAATTTTTCTGAATATGGTGAGTCATAGACCTCAACCAAACACATTCACGACTGGCTTCGTGAATTGTTAAAACCTCAGCATGGTTTGAAGAAGTTGTTGTTATTGTCTGTTTAGTAGATCTCCAAGAGATTGCGGTTCCACCACAAGTAAATAAATAGCCAGTTTGAGATTTTGCTTTGTGTGGATCAGACAGATAACTAGCATCAGCATAACCAATCAATTCATTTCGAGATTCACTCGAATAAAATAGACCGAGGTCATGAGTCCCCTGAAGATAACGAAAAATGTGCTTGATACCATTCCAATGGCGCTTTGTGGGGGATGCGCTAAACCTGGCCGGTAGATTTACTGAAAAAAATATATCTGGCCTGGTGCAATTTGCGAGGTACATTAATGCGCCAATAGCGCTGAGATATGGTACATCGGGGCCAAGTATTTCTTCATTTTCTTCTCTTGGCCTAAATGGATCTTTACTGGGATCAAGGGATCTGACCACCATTGGTGTACTCAGAGAGTGAGATTTATCCATGTAAAATTGTTTTAATACCTTTTGGGTATATGTGTATTGATGAATAAATATCTCATTATTAACATGATCCACTTGTAATCCCAGACAATATTTTGTCTTTCCAAAATCTTTGATCTCAAATTCTTTCTTTAGATATTCAACTGCAGTTTGGATCTCTTCAGGAGTTCCAATTAAATTGAGATCATCAATATATATAGCAATTATGACAAAATTTGATCCATTTTTCTTTATAAAGACGCATGGGCATATTGGATCATTAGTATAACCTTCTTTTGTTAAACATTCACTAAGACGGTTATACCACATTCGCCCTGATTGTTTAAGTCCATACAATGACTTTTTCAATTTGATGGAATATGATTCCCTTGGGTTTAATTTGTATGCTTCAGGCATATTGAATCCCTCAGGAACTTTCATATAAATATCAGTATCCAATGAGCCATAAAGATATGCAGTAACTACGTCTAAAAGACGCATGTCGAGCTTTTCTCGCACTGCTAGGCTCACAAGGTATCTAAATGTTATTCCATCAACAACCGGAGAGTATGTTTCATCAAAATCTACTCCAGATCTTTGTGAGAATCCCTGAGCTACAAGACGGGCTTTATATCTCACAATTTCATTATGCTCATTTCTTTTTCGTACAAACACCCATTTGTATCCAACTGGTTTTATACCATCCGGTGTTTGAACAATTGGTCCGAAGACCTCCCTTTTGTTTAATGAGTCAAGCTTTGATTGAATCGCATGTTCCCATTTTGGCCAGTCGTTTCTTTGCCGACATTCATGAACCGATTTTGGCTCTGGATCCTCGTTTTCTTCCATTATATCAAGTGCTAAATTGTATGCGAAGGCATTATCAATAATTGCCTCTTTGCGGTTCCAATATTTTCTTGAAGTAACATAGTTAATTGAGTTTTCAATAATCTCATCATGTTCTTCAAGATCGTGCTCTTCTTGAGCAATTATTTCAGGGTTGACTTCCTCATTAGTTTGAGGTTTATCAATGTCATTCCTGATATTTTCATGATTATCATCATTAATTCCTCTTTTCTTTCGAGGATGTTTGTCTTTGGAACCGAGTGGTCTACCACGCTTCAAGCGTGTCGCTGATTCATTAGCACTTCCAATTTGTCCATCAGGGACAATTAATTTAGCCGGAGCATTAGCAGCTTGGATATATGATCGAGTGACTTTGCTCGAGTCATTGAAAGCATCCGGTAACTGATTTGCAATATTTTGCAAATGTATAATGCGTTGAACTTCTAGTTCACACTGCTTTGTATGAGGATCACAAAAATTCAATGGGATTTTCCAATTAATATCCCTTTTTGGTTCATTTATGTCTCCCCCTAATGTCGGAAAATATGATTCGTCAAAATGACAATCTGCAAATCTTGCAGTGAATAAATCACCCGTCATAGGTTCAAGATATTTTATAATTGACGGCGATTCATATCCGACATAAATGTCCAATCTACGTTGATGACCCATTTTTGTACGTTTGGGGGGTGGAATAGGAACATAAACAGCACACCCAAAAATACGTAGATGAGATATATTTGGTTCGTGACCAAATACTAATTGCATCGGGGAGTAGCTATGATAACTTGTCGGCCTCATTCTTATGAGTGTTCCT